TACACGCACACACACATACACTAATGCTATAATTAGGACAGCCTCTTACACTCTGCCGTTGAGTCCCTGTGCTGGTCTTCCGTGAGCGGGGAATGTGCAACTGAGGATGAAAACCGCCAAACTGCAATGTGGTAGGAGACTCCGCAACATCTTGAGAGTGATTGAGACCTGCGAAGAATTGACATCTGTTAGAATATGGGATCCTCTGAATCAGGACTTCAGGCTTTATAAGCATTGAACATCATTTACAAAAGGAGTTGAGACTGTTCACTTATCAAAGTGTATTCACTTCATTTATTCAAAGTATTTTTTAAATCTATCTATCTATCTATCTATCTATCTATCTATCTATCTATCTATCTATCTATCTATCTATCTATCATATAAATTATTATATTACATATTGCATACATGTTATACAACAGCCACAACATAAATACTTAATAATGTATAAAATGTATGTATTAAAATGGATTTTAAAAAATATCAATTTTTCACCAGCCAGGCCACTGCCACTAAACAAAATCGCTACAGAGCCATATCTGTGTCCTGTGTTACATCCTGTTCATCCTACATTTGTAACTTTTCTTATAATTAAATAATAGTATATAACAGATTTTCTCACATTATCTCTAATCTGATATTACAAGGCGTCCTCATAATTAAAGGCATTCTATAGAAAGGGCCCTGGAAAGGGAGACGCAGTCACGGTAAGGAGCGGCAAATGAATCGATTCGCCAGTCAAGAGGGTCCCAGAAATTCAGAGTATTCCATCCTCTCTGGGGAGCAGCACATTTTTGGGGGTTTATTCCCCAAAGGGTGCATGCAGATGTCAGTCTGTGGAGAGTTTCCAGAACATTCAGCGGCTTCCCATTGCGTTGGTATCTTATCCCACGTCTGATGCAATATTACCAGTTAGGAATGTATTATGAAAACTCAGGAATTTGTATGTATTTTATGTTCTAATATAAATATATATCACAATCGTGGGCACTCATGGAGCACATGTGCAAAGAATTTGATAGACAGCCAAGGTTTCAGTGGGGTGCAAGGCTGCACCACACTAAAAATGAACCTGTCTTGCCCACTATGTCTACTGTGACATTAATCTCATTCTGTATAACCTGGACCACAGGACTGGTAGATGTATTAGTGTCTTACCTGTTAAGGTCTTCCAGAATTTGTTCTCTTTTGGATTAGTTCTTTCAGAACAAGAAATGGGACCCTAAAATCAGAAAGATCAAAAATGTAAATAATGTATCTGTCAATTATACAATGATCACATCCCCCCTCTTGTTTTACCATATTCTATGCATTGCATTACACAGTCATGGAGTTTGCTGCCTTCCAGCTGTCGGCAAAGTCACAGTGTGCTCTAATAACCAACAGGGCATGCTGTGACTTATAGTAATGCAGCAGGCAAAGACTCCTATGAATTACTTAACAACAAACGTCTTTGTGTCCAGAAGTGTAAAAGAACACAGCAACAGTATTTGTATAAATATGTAAATTCATGTCAATAGTTTTTTTTTAACTGGCATTAGAGTGGGCACTGTGAGTTAGGCAGAGCACTATAGTTACTGGCCCATAGGGGGCGCCCTTGCAGCATTTTTTTTTCACTCACTAATCAGAGACATCACTGGGAACAAAGACAAGTTTCATGGAGGAATTTCTTTCGGAGCCTTTGCATGCCAACCTTGTCCTGTCCTGTCTAGGTAGGCATGGAACTTTGGCAAAGAGTACCCACCCCTGCCCAACCGTACGGAATCAACTAATCATCAAGCCACATTGGCGCTGCCACCCAGAAGACGGCGCTGCAACTGATGTCGCATCAAAATTGGCACCTTGGCATAACAGGATTGGGCACCTGCGCCAGGGCTTAACGAGGCGCGTTAAGTATACCGTCACCCCCAACTGTCTTTTCATTCCTCAACAATTGTTTTACAGTACAAATTCCAACCTCACGCCCCATCCCAACCTTTACCCTACCGAGCTGTTCTCCTAATCCAATGACACGCTGATAAAATGTTGCATCGCCGTTCAAAAAACGCAACGGAATTCCTAGCAAACTCGGGGAACAATTTTTTGCATTCCGAGTCCGAATTCTTGAATGCCTCAGAACGCCGAGTTCAACGTTACACTCGGAGAGGCGTAAAGAAAATAAAATGCTGAAATAATCGCCCAAGTAACCTTAGATCGCCAAAAAATTGAGTTTTGTCCGTGCGGGGGAGGACGGCGAAATATTTCACTAATCTCTGCGTGAAAAAAACAATGATTGTTGAAGCTCGGAAAACTTGTGGGTTTTGGATACTGGCTGCATATGGAATGGAGTCAGACTGAGGTTTGTGTGCGTTCCGTGGGGAGGTGAGACGGAGCAAACGGATCTCTCTCTCTCTCTCTGACCCCAAATACACCACATCTCTCAATACACTCTCTAAGGCTGCGTACACATGGGCGTTAATATCACTTAACGTTCAACGTACACATGGGCGTTAATATCACTTAACGTATAGCGTACACATGGGCGTTAATATCAGGCATTTATAGTGCGGCTCAAAGGATTGATCAGTGCAAAACAAAAAAACTGCTCCACCTAAAAATTAAATTTTATTTATACGCAGAGTTGCATTTTTAATTCACCCACCTTCTATAACTTCTTTTTCTTTATTTAAAAAAACAATATTTTTCCCTCCTAATACATACTATCTATTCGAAAATAATAAAAAAAAAACAGTGATTGTGAACTTTGTAAGAGCTGCAAAAAGTGCTCAGACCTCGGAACGCAAGCGCTCGGTTATTGCCGCTTGCGTCCTGACAGGAACCGTTAGCTGGTTTAAAAAGCTCTAGCAGTTTCTAAACACTAAAATATCAGTTTTACACAAAAGCGTATGAGTAGCGTCGTACTCGGACGCAGTCAGCCAGACACCAAGACAGAATCATGTCACTCAGGGAACAAGTTTTTCAGTCCATAAAACATACCATGCACAGGCAATAGTTTCAATTCACAAAGCTAACACACCAGGATAAAGATCCTCATTGAAAAAAAAATTATTGACATATATTTAGAGTGGAGTCCAATAAGAGTAGAAAATGTCACATGACTGAAAATAAAGATCCTTACGCTTGCAATAAAAGCCACTTCAACCTAATGACAGTTATGGAATTATGAAAGTTATATTTGCAGAAAAGAAAGGAAAGAAATTCAAATAAACATGGTTGTTACATTTTCTGTATTACATGTTCAAAGTCATAAAACTATTTTTTTTTTTAGTTTATATAAAGTTTTGCAGCTTGAAGCTAAAAAGTAACATTTGGGGGGCTCAGTATAGTTTTTGCAGATGGATCTAAAAAAAATATTTCTGTCTATAAAGTTGCAGTAAAGTTTGTTTATTGCTGAGAAGTGAAAAGTAACAAAGTGGGAAAAGTATTTGGAACTTCCCCTGCAGTCAGAATTCATTAGATTTGCACAACATGCAGTGTGCGCACTTACTTTCTGCAGCCCTGTTGCTTGTGCTCCCCAGCAGCGCTCAGTCCTGTCTGCAGTCCTGTGTAGTATTCCCAGCTCTAATGTGATGTAGCAGTCCAGTACTCCAGGAAGGAGCTGTGTCCTTTGGCTGAGTGTGAGGAGAACTGAATTCCTTCTCACTGAGCTCTTAATAAAGACAAAACTGTGACATCATAAGCTACATTCCCCTTTTCAGCTAAACAGCAGTCATGTTGGTTCATTGATGGTGAAGCATGTGACACCCCCCCCCCCTTTTAACACTCCTCACATCAAGCATACAGTACATAGCCAATGCCAAGAGCAATTGTAGGAGTGTCCTGTGGGCTCACCTGTCACTTTCACACCCCTCCTTGTTAGCTGTCTACTGGGGTGTCTCTACCATTCTGCAGAGAGACAGAGATAGAAAGAACAAAGAGAGGGATAGAGAGAGAAGACAGAAGGAAAAGATGGAGAGCGATAGAAAAGAGAGAGAGAGAGGGAAAGCGATAGAAAAGAGAGTGATAAAGAGGGAAAGCAATAGAAAAGAGAGGGATAGGGAGAGAGAAATGAGAGAGAAAAAGAGGAAGAGAGAGAAAATAGAGGGACAGACAATAAGAGTGGAGGAAGAGAATATAAAGGGGGGGGCGGGGGGAGAGAGAGAGGCAGAGAGAATGAAAAGAGAGGGATAGAGAGAGTAGAGGAAAAGAGGGGGATAAATAAGAGATAAAGAGAGGGAGAGAAAGAAGAAAGAGAAAAGAGAGGGATAAAGAAAAATGAGGGGAGAGAGAGAACAGGGAGAGAGAAGGAAAGAGTAAGAAAGGGACAGATAACAAGAAAAGAGGGAGGAAGAAATAGAAAGAACAAGGTAGAAGGGGAAAGAGGGAGATTGAGAGAGAAAAGAGAGAGTGAATAAAAGAATAAGAGAGAAAAGAAAGGAGTAGAGAGAGGGAGTGAGGGGATAGAAAAGAGAGGGAGAGAGAGGAACAGAGTTAGAGAGAGAAAGAAAAGCGAGGGACAAAACAGAAAGAAACAAGAAAGGGAGAGAAAAAAGGTCTAGGAAGGAAGTATATAGAGAGAGGAGAGAAAGCATAAAACTCAATACATAAAAAAGGAAAAGAAGGAAAATAAGAGAAGAGAGAGGGAGAAGAGAGAGATGAGGGAAGAGAGGAGAGAGAATGTAAAAGCTATCTATAAAAAGAAAAGGAGAGAAAGAGACAGAGTGAGGGGAATGAGAAAGAGAAGAAAGGATAATTAAAAAGTTATAGATTGAAAGAAATACAAATATAGAAGAGCTAGAGACAGACAGGAAGAAGGTAAAGAAAACATGAGGAGTGAAAAAAGGGAGAGAAAAAGAATAGAGAGAAGAAAAAAAGCAAGAAAGAAAAAGAAAGAATGTGAGAGAGACAGGGAAGAATGAGAAGGGAGTAGGAGAAGTGGAAGGTGAGGGAAGTTTTGTGAGAGATACAGAGAGGACGACTTGTTGCAGTGCGGTCTGGTTAAGTAGCCTCTCTCCGCAGAGCCACAAGCACTTTGTACAACTTCCCACAAACTTGCGCTTGTGGCACGCGGGTGGTCATACATGAAAGTGGCTGGGGATTGAACGGAAGCGCAGGGTTGTATTTTTAAGACCGACAATATAAGCACTGTACCACACGTCTTCAAACAGCTCCACTGTACTCAAGAGTGTACGACGTTATTTTTCCTCTTAAAAGAAATCCCCCCTCTCCTTTTAAGAACGTGTCCTCTGGTACTCTTAAAGTGTACTTGTCACCCTTGCATAGTGGATTCAGCCCATCAGCTCACATCCTGTGCATTATCTCTGTGCATAAGCTTCTGACTGCCGACGAGACTCATTTTTACCTCCTAAGAGTTCACAAATGGTCGATAATTGCCAGTGATCCTCGAAATTTGGAGTGTCAGTTGTTATTACAAGGCTAGCCACAATTACACTCCGATGTCCTTACCAATACTAATATACTAATACACAGAAACCTGTTCCCTTTAACCTGACATTGCATTTTTGGACTGTGGTTAGAACATCCAAAGAAGACCCAGAACAATAGGGAGAATTCCATGAAGGTGTCCTTGGTTGGTACTGGACACAATGAGAGAGAAAGTGAAGGAGAGAGATGGAAAATAAAGGGATAGAGAGAGTAGAGGGGAAAAGGAAAAAGAGAGGGGGGAAAAAGAGAGAGAGAGAGAGAGAGAGAGGGAGGAGAGAGAGAGAAAAGAGAACAGGGAGAGAGAAGGATGGAGAGAAAGGAGTGAGAGTGATAAAAATGAATAAGAGCAAAGAAAGGAATAGAGAGATGGAGTGAGGGGACAGAAAAGAGAGGGAGAGAGAAAGAAAGAATGAACAGAGAGAGGAATAGAGTTAGAGAGAGAAAGAAAAGTGAGAGGTAAAAAGGACAAAACAAGAAGGAACAAGAAAGGGAGAGAAAAAAAAGGTGGGGGCAGTAGGGAGACTTCTACACACCTGTTGTGCTCAATATGATGGGCTCCCACCATCCCTGTGCTGAGTTCCTGGGTCTGTACACCTGCTGTACCCATTGGAAGGAGCTCCCATCATCCCCGTGTTGCATTCTGGGGTTCCCATGATCCCTGATGTGAGTTTCCAAATGTCCATTATGATAGGTTCCCACCATCCATGTGCTAAGTTCTAAGGTTTGCGTACTTGCTGTGCCCATTATGAGGAGTTCCCACCAACCCTGCACTGAGTTCCTAGCACTCAACACCTGCTGTGTCCAGTAGGAGGGGTTCCTACCATCCCTACTGGATTTTCTATGTATTTAATATATTGGAGAATGTAACAGAAGGGCCAGAATACACAAAGGCGGGAGAGACAAAACTCCCAGATGGACAGGAACCGAGTCTGGAATTATGGCAGGAAGATCTCTCTGCTGGGGCATCCAAATAAGTCAGCCCACCAAGCTCAGCCTGTCATATTTGGTGACATTCCCTTATAAGAGCATTCCAGCTGACTTCCCATCCATGTTAATGTCTTCCCTCGTGGATCTTTCCACTGCTCCAGTGAAGGTGTCTGATATCTGCACAGCCGTGTCAGTTTGGTATCTGAGGATTGCCCCAGACACACAGGATAGTGTTGGAATTTTGAAGTGGGTGGATTTATGGATTGCATGGATTTAAAGAAACAATTCTGATGTTTTTCCACTAACACCAGTAAGCCCAACTTTGTAAACGTGGCTGCTTTTTATATCCGCCAAATAAACATTTTAAGTAGACTTTCTCTGTACAAAAGTCCCAATTGTCCTTTTAGGTATATATTGTGCGTGGTTGTAAATAATCTTATCAGCGCTAAAGTACATGTAACACTGACATTCAGTTTGATAACATCTCGGCTTTCATCTTGTTTCATCCTCAGTTAAATTTCAGTGTTGCTAATCTAATGTTACCTGATTTTGAAAATGAAATCTGGGCACACTTCACTGAACACGTCTATTTTTAAACCACACCCACAAACCCACACCCCTATTTGTAGCCACACCCACCAAATCGCACACACATTTGTAACTTATTTATTACAGGTATTTATATACCGCCGACAATTTACGAAGCGCTGGGCATTCACATCAGTCCCTGGCCTCAAGGAGCTTACAATCTAAGGTCCCTATCTCACATGCACACATACGAGGGCCAATTTAGACAATTAACATACCAGCATGTCTTTGGAGTGTGGGAGGAAACCGGAGTAGCCGGAGGAAACCCACAACAAACACAGGGAGAACATGACTTGCCCTGAAAAAATTGGTTACCGATGTTTGGAAGAAGAGGCAGACATTGAAGGTAGACAAAATGCCTTGGGTGCCATTAATAGAGAAACAATGTGGCATGCCTAGAGTGGCAAATTGTGGGTGTGGCCTAATTGTGTTAACAGTAGGAGGGACATAAAGGCATTATAGTTATATAAAACCTGAGCTTACTCTGCTGTGAGTCAAGAATATGTAACACACAGAGTGCAAGGGTCAGGAGTGCGTAATATGCAGAGTGCAGGGGTCAGGAGTGCATAATATACAGAGTGCAGGGGTCAGGAGTGTGTAATACAGTGACTGCAGGGGTCAGGAGTGCATAATATGCAGAGTGCAGGAGTCAGGGGTGCATAACACGCAGAGTGCAGGGATCAGGAGTACATAATACGCAGAGTGCACGGGGCCGGAGTCCATAATATGCAGAGTGCAGGGGTCAGGAGTATGTAATACAGAGAGTACAGGGGTCAGGAGTGCATAATACGCAGAGTGCAGGGGTCAGGAGTGCATAATACTCAGAGTGCAGGAGTCAGGAGTGGATAATATGCAGAGGGCATGGGTCAGGAGTACAACACACAGGGGAATTTATCAAAATTGGAGCAGACAGAATTCGGAACAGTTGGCCATGGCAACCAATCAGCATCCACCGTTCATTTTTAAACCTTAACTGAACAAACTGAAGAGAGAAGGTGATTGGTTGCCATAGGCAACTGCTTCAGAATATTGTGCTCCAGTTTTGATAAATTCCCCCTAATGAATGCAGGGGTGAGGAGTGCATAATACGCAGAATTACTGATCTCCTTGCACTTACATATTCATCACATACTGTGTGTTAACGTAGTCATTGGCAGAATATCCGCACTATTCCCAGGATCCACCCTGCTGCCTGATTGAATGCAGTGTCACACGCCGGCTCTAAGTATTGGGAAGAGTACATTTTACTCTCCTAATACTTCTCCTTTAATGGTGGCCAGTCACATGTATAAATACATCCCCTCAGCATGATCAATAGTAGTTGACTTTGATGTCCTTCCATGCAAACAACCTCCTGCCGACACCACCTGGGGCCACCAGATGATTGGCACCGCATTGCCCCAACGCAAGTAACCTGCATTGCCGCGTGTTGCAGAAAAGTGCACCTTAATTCACACGTTCCTGCATGGCACAAGTGTGAACGGCATCTAAACAAAAACAGACCTTCTGACAGCAAGCGTGCAGAATATGCCCACCACATTCGTCCCAGTAACATCTCATCACCTTTACCTTGATCTTTCCTGACAGTCTTATCTTCCTCTTTATATCCTCTTCTTCCTTTCCCCCTACAGTTATATCACCTACCTTTGGGAATGGAACTGCCGTCCTATA